ACTTAATTTTGGTAATTTTTACTTATTATGTGCATTTACAAAGATACAACTCTATTTTTTCGTGATCTACAGTATTTATCTGTTTTGCACAGTTCTGCTCACTGGCAGTCCAGTTGGGCCCAAACTTCTTGTATGTATGGGGGTATAAAAACTAACTCTGCGATGCGATTGTGCGACTCGCCGAATGTCGATTATTGCACTCTGCGACAGGATCGCAGTGTCACTCTGCGAAGAGCACAATTCCTATTGGTTGGTTGGTCGAACAGCGTGAGTCCTAATGGTCGATGTTCACCGCAGGCCTTATAAAAAAAGGTACGGTAAAAAAAGTGTGTAAACACTATGTACCGGCGACATGCTGCACTGTTCGGTGATCGGCAAGCACATGGAAGACAGCGACTATGCTCATTAGCATAGGCGGCAGCTTCAAAGCGAGTGGAACGCGAAGTACTTTTCACGCGTTCTGCAATGAATGTTGTACGTCTGTTTTGACTTTGTTGAGTGCATCAAGGAAAATATTTGCATGCAGAGAAAAAAAAAATCATTCACGACGTGCAAAGTTTTGCCATGACAGCAGATGTTTGCAATCGTCTGCCTTCGTTTAGATAATAAACGGACTCAAAACTTGTGGTTCACCATCGATTAGCTGGTATTTTAACCACCAGAAATTAAATACAGTTGTGAAAAGCAAACAAAAACGGTGTTGGTTCATAGTATGAATGTAATTATTTTTGTATCATAATTTTTGAAGTCAGTATTACTGAAAATTATGGTTTATTTTTTTAAATCAACGCCAAATTTCGGTGGTCCATATTGATCTTTTAAAATGTTGCGGAAAGACCAGTGCTCAAACGCTAACACTACTACCGTACGCGTTTCGTTAATATTTGCACAATGTTTATACCATGTGTATGTATACTACCGGTTATACTCTGTTGCTTCCTGTCGCAAACAATGCATATTTATCTAACGTCCATTGTCAGCATTATTATCAGTCAAGACTTCGTCTGAAAAATTGTTTTATTTTTTAAGTCTATATTCTATTTTAATAACACCATCTTACTAAGGCAATGGCGATAAAAAGAAAGAAAGCA